AAATTTTTATTTGTGTGTATGTTTATGCTTTATGCAGGCAAATTTGCATGCTTTACAGACAAAGGGATAAATAAATTCATTATATAAAAGGATCATTTATATATGCTGTGTTAAATAAACTTTAATTAATTAAACGTTATACAGTATTTATCTAATTATCGTAGAATAGAAAAGAGACCGTATTTTTTTCCTTATTGAGAAATCATGTGTTATAGATGATTGTTGTATTGCTTGATTATTTTCTTTTTTTTTTTATATTTATTTCTTTTACTGACCCGCAAAGTTCTCGAATGAAGATCGTCAAAACACTTGCACTCTATATTCTTTTTTGGTTCGATCGTCTCATCTAAGTTAGGAAAAAAACTGCCTGACTTTTTACATGAATCGCTTCTCTCTACCGATTAGAGACTCCGATTAGAGCATTATCTTACGAATCTCGAATCCATTTATAATTCTCACATTAACACTCACCTTCCTCCCTAACGAATAACCCCTTTATAAATAGTTTTCTCTTTGAACGAAAAAAAACAGGTTTTTAATGATCATATAACTTTGATAACCCAAATATTTTGATTCTAAACCTGTTTTCTTCCTAAATCTCATGATAAAAAAATTTTTCAATTCTGATTTTCATAAGACAACTCTACAATCTCCAAAAAAAAATGTGAGATATTCTCAAATAGGAAAAAAAATTCTTTTCAAATAGAGAAAAATTCGATTTTATTATAAACAAAATAAAAAAAAAAAAAGAGATCAGAACTTCCTGTTCTTTACATTTTCAATTTTTGTACAATGATAAAATTAATAAATAAAAAAATAAAAAAAATAAAAAAAAAAAAAAAAAATACTTCTCATAAATTTCATCCTTTTTTTTCCAATTTTTCGAAGAACAAAAAAAAAAAAGTAAAAGAGTAATGAAAATAATATCTTCCTTTATAAAATATAAAAAAAATAAAAATCATGCCCGCTAAATTAAACGCATTCTGCTACATCTACGAATTCTCCCAAAGAACCACCTGAGATTTTACCATGATAGAAATTACTGCGATTGTGAGGATGAACTAAGAAGATCCCACTATAATCTCCTACTTACGAGTAAAAGTATTTGTTCCTTTGAATATCTACATTCCATACCAAATAGACCAAATCGACACTGGAGATGTAGTTCAATTAAAAGGAAAATTAGTCAGATGCCCGGCCTATTACTCGGTACCCTCTTTTCTCTTTTTTTCTTTTCTGAATCAGAAAAAAAAACTAACCCATACTCCTTCATCTAAGGTTAACGCAACTTCAATAAAATGCCTCAAATTGAAATACGACAATTTACTCGTAACTAGAATAGATGTAATGGCATCCGATATCACTACCGATGTTATCAGAAATGAAAACGAACAGTCCATCCTAGATTTCTGCTTAGACGAATATCTTGGAGAGAAGGAATTAAACTCATTTTGGTTAGAAGTTCATCACAATCCATCTAACAAATATCAAGGTATATGCAACAGTACCACAGGAATTATTACCAACCTTGACCTCGAAAACCAATCTGTTCAAGTTGTCTTTTCGATCAGAGGTTCCTTGATCGATACAATCATTTACAAACAGACACATTACTTCCAACTATATGGAAATAATTGTCACCATACACAATTTCCATTCCAAAATTCTTTTGCTCTCACCGTTCACAAAACCCAAAGCCTGATCCTACCAAAAGTATCCCTCGTCCTAAATACTTCAATTTTCTCCCCTGGTCAAGCCTATATTGCTCTCAGTAGATGTTCAACTTGGGATAATGTAGAGATATCCCATCTCGACTCAGCAGCCTTCAAAATAGACCAAGAAATGGTCCAAGAATACCAAAGACTCTGTGACTTCGTCTAAATTAATCCTCATAACCTTTAACCCAATAAAATACACATGTACACTGACCGCTTCCTCTTAAAAAATATGCTAGTTTACGCTATGATACTCATCTTCTAAAACTATAGAATGCTCAATAATCGTAAATTTTTAAAGATTTACATGCACATTACAGATTCCACATGTCGATATCCTGATTTATCATGATTTATCCTGTAACTAGCTAGATTCAGTTAAAAAGCTGCGGTGGGTACTGGAAGAAAAAAGACTGGCTAGTTATTATATTAATTTTTAATTTTTAAAAAAAAATTTGTATACCAAGCTTTTTTTTTAAAAAAATTTTTTTTATACATTATATTATTTTGTGGTTCTTTAAAAGTTTGTATTTTGAAATTTGCTTTAAAACTTTATTTTTTTTCCTTAGATTTTGAAATAATAATTAGTTTTTTTACT